CTTCAGTGGGAGTGGCATCGATGAGCCTAGATGTGGGCTAGACAGTTGAAAAAGTGCATTTAGGAGGAGCTGAGATGACACTGGTAAGCTGGGGGCAGCTACCAAAGGGAGAGACAGATACAATCTCTGTTGTCTACTTTTTTTTTTGTCTCCTGTCATTCATAAAGGCAAACTGAGATGACTCCCAGCCTCAGCTAGCTCATGACACGTGTCCTGAGCAGCCGTGGCCAGGAATGCTTTTCTCATGAGTGCAGTGGAAAGTTGGCTCTTCCCTTGATTCCAGCCTCTGACTTTGTTGCCTTGAGGTGTTTGTGATACATCACATATCATTTTAACAGATCATTCAGAGTTTTCTGATTATCTTTAAAACAGTATATTTTCCTGCAGCACTTAGGCTCCCTGACCTGTGTTTGCTTCCACTTAGTGAAAAGCATGATGTGAATTGCACGTTGGTTTCAGAGCAGCAATGAGGGTGTTTTCACTGCAGGTTCCTTACCTGCAAGACTGTACTGCACCAGTGTGGGTGGCATTACATTCTGTTTGGTGGAGCTTGCTGGGTCTCTGAAGGAACAAACTGCAAAAGGCAGGGAGGAAAGGGGCAGAACTGTACAAATTTTGCTTTGTGTTGATGGATTTTTAGAAGACTAACTACTGACCTAATAGTGTCTTGTGGTGCTCAAGCAGCTCTCGTGGAAGTCGATTATCTTGCACTACCTTTCTTTTGAGGCTTCATAAAATCTGCATTTATACTCACTGTTCCTTTTTTCTTCAATGTTTCTTCTCTGGGAGCAGAGAAGGGGAAAAATACAGTTGGGTAGTAAATTGTGGTTACTTCCTCTACCAGAATTTCTGTTACAGCTCCGTGTTGTTCAGTTAGATTAAGTAAGAGAAACTAATTTTAGTGTGAGAACTGCTTGTTCCAAAAGGCTGTGATTCTTAAATTATGCTAAAAATACCAGGGGTCTAGTTGAGACAAGACAATGACTAAATGTGAACCGTTAGGTCAGTACAGGTTGCTTTCAAAAACAGTTTTCCTTGAAAAGTCCAGGTCTAAAAATGTAAACAAAGGACCTAAGTTGTGTTTAAATTTTCTGTGTTTAAATTTTCTGGGTATTTCTGCCATTAGTGTCCGTTCTTGTGGCATAAAAATGAAATGTCTTTCTCTTCTTTTTTTAAGTCTGCAGAGTCTGTCTGTGAAGTTGAAGCTCTTATGGAGAAAATGAAGCAGCTCCAGGAGTGCAGGGATGAGGAGGAGGCCAGCCAAGAAGAGATGGCTACACGTTTTGAAAGAGAGAAGAGAGAAAGCATGTTCGTGTGTTCTTCAGGTACAACAGATGTAGTGTGTATATATATCTATATTCATTTATGTTTTTCCAAATTATTTGAAGAAATACTTGTTACTGTAAAAGGGGGAAAAAAGTGTTGCTAGATATCTCAAAAACATTACCATTTCTTTGAAGGAACAGAGATTAAAGATGTCTTGTTTTCTTCCAGGAACACTTAAAAGCACTTTTAAGAACACTTCTTCTAAAAGCAGAGTAGTGCCAAGATTTGTGGCACCAAACACACCATAACAATACTATGTTTAATAGAAATCTCCAGCAGAAATGGAATCTCTTAAGAGATTTAAAAGCTTCCCAAGAGATTTAAGCGACTCACAAGATGCCGTAAAAAGGCCTTAACACACTTGCTGAGTAAGTGTGTGAAACATTACTTCTCAATGACTGAGACAACACTTAATCTATTACAAGTTTAGGGTTGTCGTGGGCTCTGCAATGGAGTTTCCTCTAAAACAAACTTGGAATGGAAGTCTCAAAGTCTCTTTTTTTAATAAGCTCTCTGTTCCAAAACAGGTTTTTTCCCCTGGCAGTTTACAGACCCCTTGAGTCAGGAGAGAAGTGTCCTCTAGACTTAGGGAATAGGGTGAAGACTGGTGCACAAAAGAAGGGGGAAAAAGATGTTTGTGAGAAAGAATGTGAGTGTTTTTCATGGAGTTGCCTCTGAACACTATAGCTGCAGTCACTGAGCTGCACCAAAGAATCTTAATAGGGGTAGTCCAGAGAAACTGGGTGTTTGTTTAATAAGCACAGAGACTCCCATTCTTCTGCAAGAGTTCTGCTAGTACACTTCCAGTTTGTTCTTACTGAAACTCTGGTTTGACATTAACAGAAGATGAAGAATCTGCAGCAACAAGAGATGTCTCTCGTCACTTTGAGGACACCAGCTATGGTTACAAAGACTTCTCCCGACACGGAATGCACGTGCCCACCTTTCGTGTGCAGGTAACAAGTCTAGTTTTTGTGCCAAATCCCAAACCTGGGAATTGCTGTGCTCTCACTTACTGCCTCTGGATGAGGCTTAAAGCCAGCAAATGAACAACCCCCATGGATTGCCTGCTCTGAGATCAATGACTTAAAAGCGTAAGGGTCTTCACAAGTTCATTTCTGAAATGGCTCCATTCTCATTTTTATCTATTCTAAGGATTACTCCTGGGAAGATCATGGCTACTCCTTGGTTAACCGTCTTTACCCAGATGTGGGACAACTACTTGATGAGAAGTTTCATATTGCTTATAATCTGACTTACAACACAATGGCCATGCACAAAGATGTGGATACCTCAATGCTAAGACGAGCTATTTGGAACTATATTCATTGTATGTTTGGAATAAGGTTAGTTTTACTCCTTTTGTTCTAAATGCATTGGGTTTTCTTCTCAGATTGAAGCAGAGCTGTTTATTAAGGGAACGTGCATGTATTTGTTAAATATATTTGTGTCTGTTGGGGAGGGCCAGTAGTGGCACAAAGTACACAGTAATATATGTTGCCATAGGAACTTAGAGACAGTGCAAGTGAAATAAGTGCTGCTTGAAAATGAAAGTGTCTCTCTTTCAATTCCGAACAGATACGATGATTATGACTATGGTGAAATTAATCAGTTGTTGGACCGCAGCTTTAAAGTTTATATCAAGACTGTGGTTTGCACTCCTGAAAAGACCACAAAAAGAATGTATGATAGCTTCTGGAGGCAGTTTGAACACTCTGAGAAGGTACAGTGTGTGTGTATGCTGAGAGGCTGAGGGATATGCTAAACCTATTATAACAGGGTCCTAAAACTAGTGATTTCAGATTGTTCAAGTAAAATACTACACATGTTTTGGTTAGATTGACTGATAGATGACCTTTTCAAGTACACAAACCCTTCTTTAAAGCCCAAAACTTTGCATCTCCATAGCCATCAAAATGTAAGGGTCCTACATGTACCTGTCCCTGAATGCAGTCACCATCCATCCTCATGGAAATCGTGCAAATGAAACCACACACAGCCCTTGCAGGCCAGAGCAAACTCACAGCAAACTGCTATCAGTGAGGAAATACTTTTCACTCCCTCCCACACACACTTCCTGATCTCATCCTCAAAGAAGTACAGTAAAGGCACTGAGAAGATGAACTGGGGAACTAAAATTCTTACCTCAGGTAGCTATTGAACACCTGTGTCTCAGTAAAGTTAGCAGTTCTGTGGCATCTTAGAATTTTTCTTGTGCCTTGCCTTGGCTAACCACTCAGTGTTGGTCAGGTGGTAATACCTGTGTGTTTCTCAGTCCCAGAGGGGCAAATGACCTTATCACCTCTGCCTTTGCTAACACCCTGCTCTGTAGGCATCAATTGCCCTTTGGCCTTTAATCGATTAACCTCATTAAGCTAAGTTTGAACAAACTGTGAATATTGTGCTGCTGAAGAAGGGTTTGGGTGCTTGAAAGCTCATCTGATTTTTCCAGCTAAACCAGCTGGTTACTAAAGGCTGAGTGCCCCTTCCTGTGAACCTGTCCCTGTGACCCACTGCAAGAACTAAAGGCCTGGGTTATTGACATGCAGTGCTCCCCAGTGCTGCTGCTGCAAGCACTAACCCGAAACCCACAGCTGCTTTCACTGTGAGCCCTCCTTTAAAGCCTAACCTACCTCTTCTCTTTCCTGAAGGTCCATGTAAATTTGCTTCTGGTAGAAGCTCGGATGCAAGCCGAACTACTTTATGCTCTGAGAGCTATTACTCGCTATATGACCTGATGTCTCCGGCTGCCTGTCGACGTTGGAATGTTCTGCAGCTGCAGTGTGGCAGAGGAAGATACGAAGCCTCAGGACCAACAGTAGCTATAAGTTAAGATGCCCATTGTGCCATAACTCCTTTAGTTTCAGCTATTTCCGTGTTTGGAATATCATTGCTGCCCCTCGGCAGCAAATGCTTGGCAGTTGAACAGACAGGGTTGTGCAGAAGTGCTGCCTGCTCATGGTATTTTGGCTTTAGACAGCACAGGACATTCTATGAACTTGTGGCAACATAGCAAATGATAGATACATAGATCTTGTGTTAAGGCAAATCCTGCGGGAGTTGGAGCGCGACACGATGTTTGGAATATCATTGCTGCCCCTCGGCAGCAAATGCTTGGCAGTTGAACAGACAGGGTTGTGCAGAAGTGCTGCCTGCTCATGGTATTTTGGCTTTAGACAGCACAGGACATTCTATGAACTTGTGGCAACATAGCAAATGATAGATACATAGATCTTGTGTTAAGGCAAATCCTGCGGGAGTTGGAGCGCGACACGAAGTTTGATGACAT